CAGATCTACAGTGTATATATTGTTTACTCTTTTTCCCTGCAAAACAATCTTGTCACTCGTAAGATTTATCACAAAACATTTGTAGAGGTGAATGCTACCAAGTTACCTCTGTCACACAATTGTGATACACTGATTAGGCTATATTTCAAGTCATCTATCAAGTAGACATTCTCAATGGAATGTGAGTCTATCTTACCTACCTTTCTAACCCCAGTGATCTCACCTTTCTTACCATTTCCAAAGGAGACATTACCTCCTTTTAGGTTCTCAAGTGAAAGGAACTGGTTCTTAGTTCCAGTCATATGCTTTGAGCAGCCACTATCCATGTACCATATTTGGCTATTTCCCTTCACTTGGACATGCAAAATGGAATCAGGGGTCAGTCTTAGGAACCCAAACAAGTTTGGGTCCCTTTCTATAGGCAAAGGGGTGAATTAAATTATTTTTAGCCCATCCAGGCAGCCTATTTTTTCCTTGAACAAAGATTTTGTTCTTTTGACTGGCCTTTTCTTTTGCATTACACTCACTTTTGTAAGGACCAGTCTTGCCACAGTGTGTGCAGATTTTGTTCTCAGGAAGTATGATGTACTTGCTTTTGGGATCCCACTTAGGTGTTGGGGTCCCATAGCCAAGTCATCTCTTATTGCTACTGTGATGCTCTTGTAGCTAGGATAGTGCATCGGAGGACTTATTCCATTTGCAAGTTTTTTCTAGTTCATGCTTCACCTTGCCTAGATCTTCTTTTAGGACTCTTATCTGCTCATCTCTCTTGTACAACTCATCCTTCATTTTTCCTACATTTTCTTCTAAGGTGAGGTGTGTGTGATCAGCTTTCTTTTTACCTGTTCCTAATTTCAGTTTTAAATTTTCAGATCTAAGTTCTAAGATAGTGGTGTCAAGTTCAAGAACCTGGTTCTTCAACTCAGTATTTTTACTATCACTTTCACTAGCCCTGAGTTCCAAATTTTTGCACTTAGCTTTTAGGATCACACATTCCCTAGACAGTTGTTCCTTCTCATTGTTTATGACCTCAGACTCATCAATGAAGTCTAGCAGTAATTCAGATAGCTTTTCTTTAGACAAAAATTTAATCTTGTCTTTGAGATGAATCACACTTACCTCTTGTTCATCATCTGATTCTCCAATGGCCATAAGTGCTTGTTCATCTCCACCTTCATCTTCTGAATCCTCATCTGAGCTTTCTCCCCAAGATGCAACCATAGCCTTTGTTGATCCTTTGTTCTTCTTGGGTTGAACCTGTTCCTTCTTCTTGTTTCTTGGTTCAACCCTTTCTTTCTTCCATTCAATTTCCCATTGAGGATAATTCTTGATCATGTGGTCAGTCTTACCACATTTGTAGCAGCCCTCGTTCGTCTGTTTTTCAGGGGCCCTTGGTTTGTTGAAGGTTGCACCTCTTGAAGAACCCTTTCCTCTCATTAGGTACTTCTTTAAATCCCTTGTGATCATAGCCATTTCATCACCCTCTAAGTCTGCACATTCAGCTATTCTGAGAGTCGGGCTTCTTTCCTTCTTGGGTGCATCCATCTTCATGGTTTGCCTTCTCAGTTAATAGGTAGTGAGATTTCCAATCAGCTCATCCAACTTGAGAGTAGCAATGTTCTTTGATTCCTGAATATCAGTGATTTTGCTTTCCCAATCAGAGACTTAAGTTCATTAGTCAGTGTTGTGAACCTTGTGTACATCTCTTGGATGGTTTCTCCTTCCTTCATGGTAAAATTCTCATATTGAGAATACAGCAGTGTTCCTATTGATTTCTTTACTTGAGGAGTTCCTTCATGGGCCACTTGTAGAGTGTCCCATATCTCCTTAGCAGTAGTACAACTTTGAATTCTACTGTACTCATCTGGACCTAGTTCACACACAAGCCATTTCTTGGCCTTGACATTCTTTTTCCACTTCTTCAAATCTTCAGCAGTACAGTCAGCTCTAGTCTTTGGCACATCCACTCCATCAGCATTCTTCTTTGTAGTAGCCAGGGGACCATCAGTAACAATGTCCCAAAGTTCATAGTCTTCTCCTATGATGTGGTCTCTCATCATGTTCTTCCACCAGGAATAGTACTGGCCATTAAAGAGTGGAGGCCTAGCAGTGGATTGTCCTTCCCAGTTTCCAGGTGGTGCATTCATCTTGATCTGTTCCTAAGGTGTTACCCTCTTCAAGGAAAACCTGCTCTGATACAAATTGATGTTCTATACTTCAATACCACACAAGAGGGGGGTGATTTTTGTGGTACCCGATTTTTCGTTTAACCTGATTGTAGAAGGACCATGTTCTTCTATGTGTTCCAACTACTACTATTCCGGAATAATAAATACAGAAATTAAAGAACACCGAGATTTTACGTGGAAAATACCTGGCTCAAAAGGTGAAAAAACCACGACCTACTTTCTAGTAGGAGTTTCCCAAACACTCCACTAAAATCACGGAGCCAAAAACTGCAGTTACAAAAAACCTCTTTTGTAAACCTAGGATTAACTCTAATCCTGTTGTGGAACACAGCCTCAACTGTTGCGACAACTTCAAGTTAACTCTAACTTGAAAACTCTAAGTACCTACTACAATTGCTTCTAGATAAAGCTGAAAGGTACAATATTAAATCACCTACTACGATTGAACTAGAATAAGAGATAGACACTTGGAACTAGTTCTTCTATCTGGTTCAAGTAGCTTCAGGATTGCACGCTTGAATCACACATAAATTGCTTGCAAAATCGCCTAGCTATTTTGCTCTCAATTCACGTTTAACTTCTGCTTATGTGCATTGCCTGTAAAAGCGAACAACACTGATATTTATGGAGTTAGTAAAAAGAGATTGACTAGAATACAGATGCTACTCTTCCTTGGTGGAAGAGTTCTAGTTTGTCTCATCCTCTAACTCTATCCATTTCTTAAGCCGTGTTTCTCTTTGTGTAAGGAGTCTTTCTCCTTATCCAATATGCAACCTTTTCGATCATGATTAGAATATATCACTTCTGATAAGTTAGGTTTATCTCCTTCACGTGCATCTCACATGTTTGAGTTGATCATAACTGTGCTTCACAAGATGGACTTGGTCTATGTCTGAGTTCCTTTGTCAGTCTTCAAAGCTTCACCTTTACTTGGGCCAACAAGACATATTTCTATCATTAGATTAAAACGCAATTTGTGCAATCGCATGATAGAATTAAAAAGATATCTTAGCTAGTTGAAATGAATAGGTTGATCATTATAAATGGTTCATTGCAAAATTTTATAGTAAAAACAAAATGTTTTCAGTTTTTGATTCTGCAAAAAATGATATCAATAATTATTACCAAGAAGAACACTTAAATATTTTAATACCAAATGGCCTTCTACCATAAATATTTGTTGTCAAGTTTCTTATTTCTTAGGTATGTTAGTGTCACCGTATATATAATATACTAAGTTAAAATTGATCTTCCATTATATATAGGTTAATTTTGAAGAAAAATATGCATATCATGCTATTGAAGGTCATATTGTCACTTAATTTCGTGCATATGTGTGTGCGTGTGTTCATCTGTATTCTTTTCTCCTTTTTCTTTGCTTTGTACCTTTCTGCTTTTGTCTGCTTCTATTTTCTGGCTTCGAACTGTTGTTGAAGTGCTTTTTTAATCTTAATTTCCTGTTTTTTGGCTGATTTTGACATATATTCTGCTTCGCTTGTTGTGAGTTGGTCATACTGATATATAGAGGAAAAAACATAGACACCCTTCTGGCTTTATCAGATGTAGTGGTTATACTGTGGAGTGTGAAATAGTTCATTGGCGTGTTAGGCTCCCCTGTTGAAGAACAGTGTGTGAATAGTTTAAGTTAGTAAATGTTAGAAGTAAAAGTGTTTTTTCAAGGATTAGAAAAGTGTGAGTTTAGTAGCCTTTTTACTTTAGAACATTGAACATTTCCAGTGTAGGCAGAAAAAAGAAGAAGAGATTTGACATAGTAGAAAACACTCAAAGCAGACGAAGGAAACAATTTACACGAACTGCATAGTGCAAATCTGCTTTGGGGTCACGTGTATGAAGATTGAAGTTCAAGATCAACAATATGAAAAGGGAGGGAAGCAAAAGTAGAGATAAAGGATGTTAGTCTTATGACTTTAGCACAAAAAACTTGAAGTTGGATAACCATTCGTGAATTTAGGGTAAAAAGAAACTTTTTTTAATGGAAATTTAGTTAAAAAACAAACACTTTTCTCACAAGATAAGACATAAGTTTATAAACTTCTATTTTGTTTTAGAGAAAGGTGTGTGTGTGTATATATATATATATATATATATATATATATATATATATATATATATATATATATATATATATATACAC